TATAAATAGCGTCAGTGGTAGAATACGCGCCAACCGTGCACGTGGTGCGGGTCAACACACTAAGCTGGTTATAAAGCTGGTAAAGAGGGAAGGTTGGGAATGAAGCTAGTAACCCCACCACTGATACCGAAACTTCAAAGCTGTAGCTTGAAGCCCTATTTTCCACTAGGAACGTAATGGAAAAAAATAAATAACAGTAAGTAGCACAACTACACAGAACTCACATGGACTACACAGTAAAATTCAAGTATGAAATATATATATATATATATATATAAGACAAGTGTGACATGCACTACTGACAATAATTTGCGAGTAGTCTATGGTATGAAATCTTCTAAAGGATCCTGAGTAGGGAATAAACTGATTAAGTTGCAAAACACCCTGAACTGATATGCGAAGCACCAAAATGAAGACAGAAAAAAGCACGAGGACTTGGTGCAAATTGAAGTTTCAATATAGGGTTGTTGTGTTTCGCCTAATAAACAATTATGCTAGTAAACATCTGTGTTCTATCATTCTTCTTCATTAATTGCGTTCCAAAGGGAACATAGGCTTTGAAGTTTCAGTAGCAACGCCAATGTTCTTGTAGGGTGAGGTTACTAGCCTTACGCCCAACCTTTCATATCTTCCAAGTTTACTACCAGCTGGTAAACTAAGCAAGGTTTAGAAGTACACCGACTGGAAATCGAACATAGACATTTGGCATGAATGACGAGCATTCAACCACCAAACCACCACCACACTTTTTACAGTTACATAAATATGTTCATATGCTGATAACATAAACACATTATAGCACCAGAATATGAATTATGTTACTATTATTATTTAAACACAAAATAACTTGGCGCAATATGTCACCAAAAAGATGCACCACAAAATATTAATAAAACAACGTAGATTAGAAGTAAAGATATATGTAAAGAGAGGACAAAGAACTTCATCTGAAAGTAAAACAGTCATATTTAACAAGTTCAAACATCATTCCTCATTGTCAGAAAGAGAAGGGAGAAGGAAATTGCAGCACGTTCGCCATTGGCCATATCCCTCATCCCATGGAGCCATGGTCTGACCACCTCTCCGCTTTTGCCACCCCTTCCCAGGGCTAGTGAACAAAGACCTGTACGGAAGCCCCTGGGATGATATTCGCAGCACATGTCCAAGCCATCGAAGCTGGTGTTGCCAGCTTCGACACTCAACGAACGGTGATCTCCACTTTGTCACACACACCACTAGAACTCAGAATTACTCACGCGATGATGCCATCGAACGCAAGCAATCCTGCGGAAACAGAAATGATTGAATACGCATAGTCACCGCACATCCTAAGCTCGGAGAGGTCAGGTTTAGAGGCGAACAGCAAGACAACCCGCACCAAAGCAATGTATACTAGACCTTTGACAGCAAGGCTTACGTCACGACGGCGCCATAGGTGGCTCAAGTTAACGAGTACCAACGTAGCTTTCATGATACGCTTGGAAATCTCATCCGTCACGCCTCCGCTAGCACTCACACAACTACCTAGATACACAAACTTATCAACAACTTCAGCCGGTTTACCTGCAAGAGTGAGTGCAGGTACAAGCTTCTGCCAATCTTGTAACTACTTTGCAATTAGACGGCACAAATCACATCCCACTCTTACAGGCACTGATCGCCAACGGATTAAGTCCGATTTGGGCAGCCTGCATGCTATCGCATAGTAGGACGATATCAACTGCCTTATGGCGTTTCAGTACTTAGAGTTCCTTACGGACCGTCGCTGCGATCGGCCGGTCGGTACTGACTAACCAAGAAAGACTGGGGTCTGAGAGGATAGATACTGAGGCTGGTGGTCAGCTTAACTGCTTCTCAAAGTGCTCTACCCAGCGTTCGAGGAGTCTTTTCAGGCTGGTTATTGGTGTGCCATCCGCCCCACAGACCGTTACGCTAACACCTTGTTTCTTGCCGCCGGTGGCTTGGATGAGCTGCAACAGCTTCCAACTGTTGCCAGATGCACATAGCTAAACTTTAAGCACCACTAACTACCAATCAGAGAATGATCTCGAACGCACCAATCGCGTGAAGGAGGCATTTTTGTGTATGGAATACATATATCTTTGAAAAAATTGCTCAAAAACTGTATAAAAGTGTTACAAAGGATGCCTTCCTCTCACCTGTGATAAAAATAGCTACCTTAGGTTGGGGTATCAACAGAGTATAATTTTATTTTATGCGCCTTTCGCATATTGTTGTATTCCCTGCCAGCCGGAATGGACCAGAACTCATTCAGGATTTGCAAGGAACTCGCAGAAACCCAGTGGCTTTTAGCGGAGCATTCTTTTAGGCTGCAAGTGGTTTAATTGCCAATTGTGTGACACCTCGCCGATGGAGCCAATGTTCATCTAATCCCCAAGGCAGCGTCAGGAGCTACGTTTCTATGGTTGCCGGTGACCAATACAGGTTCATTTTATTTTTTTTTTGATTACAGCTTGATTCCACACCGTATTTTTGGGACGAGTGTGGAATTTTCAGCGTGGATATCGGTAGCCCAAAATTCGCAGGCCGACCATAGATATCAGGTGTGCGTCGGCGTGGGCTCGAACCCCGGACCATGTGCATGGTCGGCGAGAGTCCTAACCACTGTGACACCGACGCCATTTTAAAAGATTGGATTCTGGAGCCTATGGTAATTACTCTTAGTCTAACCGCTATCCAAACACCCTTCCTGACATGGTAGGACATGCAGAAACATGAGTCCCAGCTAGTTTAGCTTGTTGGGCCACTGTGGTATTTAAGCCCAACCACCACAACAAGGTAGCAGTTGTCGGCCGGACTCATTTGTAATCGTCAGTTATATTTTACTGCCTTTCCACCATACCTTAAGTAATCTGACGAATAATTTCTACTGATTTGAAATAATACATTTATATTATTTCCAACCGCACGTAGATTATCTTCAAAATAATTGGTTACTGTATCCTAACTACAACAGCAGCGGTTACTCAAATCGGAGCAATTCATTAACTCCGAAAAATCCTGAGTATAGTTAACGGCGTGACTAATACACAAAAATGTGCAAAGTTGAATCATTACCAGTGGAGACGTGACTTATTAATTGAAGCATTTAAGTTTCGGACTTATGGTCCTCAGGTTCGAACAACGTCTCACCTGTCTGTCTGTCTGTTTTCGACATAGAACTTTGCACATATGTGCGGAAGTTCAAGTCGCCACACTCCATGTAGCACGCGAAGCAAGAGAAGAAAGTACAAGAAAAGCATAATAGAAACAGTGAGCAGGGGTGTGAGACAAAGGAATAGTAGTAACGAAGAACAAAACAGTTTCATTGGAGATCATAAGTCACAAGGAGTGGATGCATCTGCGCCAGCGCCACTGAGAACGATTTTGAGCCATGTCACCAATTGTTTCCAACCATAGATTTTTACCGTCCCGAGGACCCCAGCCTGAAAGTCTACACCTTCCTACGTGGTTTAGACTAACCGTTGTAGCTTTCATTGAGTGGTGACATGTTTTTGTTTGACCGCCGCTAGCTTTTTTCCAGCCTGACCCTATATCAGCTAACATTGCCCTTCGAGGAAGGCGATGGCTTGGCATACGTAACACATGTCCTAACCGTCTTAGTCGATGTAACTTCACTGCCTCGTCGATTGATTTCCCCTGTTTACCTAGAACTCGACGCCTAACCTCAATGTTGCTCACCTTATTATGCCACCTTACACGGGAAATAGAGCGCAGGCACCTATGATTAAAGACAGCTAGTCTTTTCATGTCTTCCACTCTCAGTGGCCAGGTCTCACAGTCAGCCATAAAGGAGGACGGAGCGGACTGATGAGCAGTACACCCGCCCTTTGGTCGATAGTCGAACATCTCGTCTACGCCAGAGTCGGCGTAAACTGGCAAATGCGAAAAGAGCCCCCTGTATTCGTGCTGAGATTTCGTCAGAGATCAACCCGTTGGCACTGGCTGATGGTACTTCCCAAATAAGTGAATCGGTCAATGTGCTCTACCATTTCACTTCCTATTTTTAAACTAGGCGTCGATGTAGTCCAGTCTTGTAACATCATCTTGCATTTGGCGGGAGCGAATCGCATGCCAAACATTCGCAGATTGCGGCTCAAGGTGTTTAGAAGACTCTGCATTTTGTCAGCGTCCTCGCTTAGAAGGACTATGTCGTCTGCATATTCTAAGTCAACGAGATTATCCCCTGGTAGGAAGTCAATCCCTGAGTCGCTGAAGTGAGTTAGGGTTAAGTCCATTAACACATCTATGATGAAGTTGAATAGAAATGGACATAATGAGCATCCTTGAAGGACCCCATTAGTCGTCACCAGTTGAGATGACAGCTCGCCGTAAGCCCTAACCTGGCTGTATGAGTATGAGTATGTATGAATACGCCTTACCTATCTCAGTCTGATCAACTAGGAATTAACTACCGTCAGCCCTAACGCACAAATAGGCGGTCTGCTTAAATCATTGGGCTACCGAAATTACTATCCTCCGAAATGCTAATTTCATCTGGATTTACCATTGTTTTAATCGTCCAGTTATATCAGATGACCTATACATAAACTTGCGCGATGATTTAACTTGCTGCCAAGTAAACGCTCTACAATTCTTCAACGAAATGAAGATACACTTCAGATTATTACTTTACATGTGAATCCTGCGTGAAGAAGAAAAGTACTTTGGAACTGAATATGCTGAAAATTTTTGTACCGTATATTCGCATACTGTCTTAAATAAAGCTTTACCATTATTATTATTATTCATTTTAAATACTTATGTGGCTCAAGCCTTCGAAATAGAAAAAACTAACTTGGATACCTGAGTTCTGACAGCATTATTACGAAAGTGAAAGCCTTAATCAGTGTAATCTATTAATGCAAACTAGTCCCATAATGAACTAACCACAAGTGATACCTAAAAACTACATTTCATATTTAAACAAGAATTCATAAGTAATTTAAAGAAATAACAGAGGTAATAAAAAAACTTACGTAAAGATTGTGCAGTTGACTGAAATACCGTTAAGCGATTTTGTGTTCTACAAAAGAAAAAGAATATACCTTAAATGACTTTTTCTGTATCTTTTGCAGATTTTAAAAGAACCTGCTTGTTTGGTAATGACTAAACAGTTGAAACCAGGCCTCGCCGTTCACCCCATTTGGAAATCGTCAGTTGGATGCAGCAGTAGAACATGTGCATTCAAGAGTTGAAGCGATGGGTGCTGTGTAGTAATACTATGTTATGTACTCGTCGCTAAATTATTGTTATGGACTGGTCGAGAATTTAATAGTCCTGACGCAAGAAGGCGGAAATCAGAAGACCACTAGGTTTGCGATGATACTTCTATATTCCAACACAAGGAGAATGCAAAAGTGGTATCACACCAAGGTAAGTAAGTAAAGTGTAAGTCACACAAATTGTGAATGCGAAATATATATGAATGTTCCAGACAAAGCGTGTGAACAAATCATTAGACAGTCTTAACATGAATGGCTAATTATAATGAAGTATCGATCCATATATACATAGCGAAATATAACAGACATGTCAACAACCAACATATATGGATATATGTCACCAAGCAACGGACTGTCAACAAACACTCATATTATATATAATATAAGGAGAATATACATTGTTAAAGGAGACAAGTTCATACAAGTGAAATGGTCACAGACTAAGAGAGCAAACAGAAAGAGAGACCAACATACACACACACATAAATATATATATATATATATATATATGGATACATATCATACTACCACTAACTGAAGATGACGCGCTGACGAGTCTAAGATATGAAAAATTTCCATTTCATGTAATTAAGGACTCGTGAGTCAGAAAAGAGGTCTCTTTTCATTACTTCACTTTAAAGCTGTATAGCCATTTATGGGGTTTATATATGCAATGCAGATTGACAACAGAGGTCAAAGATTATTGTAAGCTAGTAAAAAAGCACATCAAAGTGCATGACTAATAACTATGTTTTAAAAAATTAAGAATAGTCTTACGTAATCAGAAGGGTTGCCAACTAATTGGTTGGGTGGATAGTCGTTTGGAAACAGTTGACAAGGGACAAGAGTACAAAAGATTGCAAATGAATTGCAAAAAAATAAACATACATAAAAGCATACACCTTATTTATTATAGAGCTATTCAAGAAAACAAATAACAAAAACAAGAAAAAATTAGTAGTAAAGGGGCTGGATAAAGCATTTCTCAACACAAAGTTCAGATTTCTCCTTAAGGATTACTAATGCCTCGGTTGCATGAAGATGTGGGTGAAATCCTTTCGAACGACTTCATAGTACTTTATATATGACTTTGAAAGCACAAATAAAGCATAATTATATTTCAGTGGTTTACACACAATAAAAGGTTTTTGTGTATTGGTAATATTTCGAGCAAAACTACCGCTCGTGATCACACCAACTGTTGCAATTATTTTGTTCAACCCAATTAAAAACAAAACAATTCCAACAGTTGGTGTGATTACGAGCAGTAATTTTGCTCAAAATATTACCAAAAAACAAAAACCAATCATTGTGTGCAAACCACTGAAATATAATTATATTTTATTTGATTTTTTCCGCAATGCTTAAACATTTTACTGACATTAACTTTGAAAGAAGTCACTGTTGATGTTGCATGACCAGCAGTAGTAATATGCTCAGAATCGAGATGCCTACTGCTCTACGTTGGCGGTTTGACGACCATGTTGTTGGGTGTTCATGGGCACATCTGCAAAATGTCCAGTAAAGAACATTCTTCAAATTGCTTTCGACAGGCAGCTTCGGAGGACCTACCTATTTGTGTCTACCTTGAATTTGAGATTTATAATTAGCTGTTTCTTCAACACATCCACATTTCGAGGGGTATCGTTCTTTCTCTTTATATGTTCATTGACGAATGAGGTTGGATATCCATTTTTGATCAGAGTTTTTCCGAAGGATTCCAATTCCTTATTCAATGCGTCTTCTGTGTATTTACGTCAGATTCTCGTCGCATGAGAGGCGTTGAGATTTATTTTTCTGCTCATTGGGACAAATAAGCGATAGATTATCAGCTGTCCATTCTAATTTTGCTTGTAGTGGATTGATCCTTGTAGGCTTCCATCTGACCATCTTCTAAACTGGATATCTAGGAAGGATAATTTATCTTCTGATTCCGCCTCAATTTTGAATTAAACTGACTGGTAAGAGTTGTTGAAGATTTGCAAGATTTTGTTTAGGTAGATATTTTCATCAGTGATGATAAAGGCATTATTCGTATACCTTTTTGTAAACGTCAAACCGCTTGATTGTTGGTAGGAGGCTATTTGACTCAAGTTACGCCATAATACAATCGGTGAGCAATGGACCAAGTGGATAACCCATTGCCACTCCACCTTTCTGTTAGTGGATTTGAACATTGAATGAAAACTGAACATTGAGTGTGCATCTCAGGATCATTTCTTTGATATGCTCAGTTGGTATACCAACATCCAGATTTAATGTGTAAAATTTAGGCACTGAGGTAGTATTTAGTTCCATATTAATTTGTTTATTAGATATATCACACAATGAAAGTTTTATTTGCTGGATGACGTTTCGAACAAAATCCATTGTTCATAATCACAGCATTTATAGCCACATAACTTCGAAACTTTCGTTTTATAGTTTTCTTTATTCTTTCCTATTCGTCGTCGTAGAGGTAGTAGAATTTTCCAGATATCTGGGACAGGTGTTGAAACACTCCTATTAAACGTGTTTGCAGTTGATTCGATAAACGAAGCTTCCGTTATTAATCTCTTCCTCCACCCTGTGACATTAGATTTAATGTGTCATCTTATCCTATCCTGTCGTATGATTGTGTGTAACTGCATGTAGTGCTATAGCTGAACTATTCTCCAGATTTCTTATCTTATTTGGGTCAACTAATCTAGGTTTTTATCCTCTGCTAGTCTAACTGATTCCGTTTTATTACTTTGCCCTATGTATTTGACCTGATAATCATTGCAGGGTGTTAGATAAACAAAATTGTTTTCTTTGGTTTGTTTTGTTTTGGTGTAGTCAAGTTTTTAGATTAATGAGCCAAACAAACACACCTACAAGTACTTCAACCTACTTTATTACCATAAACTCGCTAGTGAGATAATCGTTAAAAAACAACCTGATGATGAAATCCTCCATGCAATCAAACAAAAAAATCCCTACAAAACCAATACTTGAAAACAACGACTTGACAGACAATCTTAAAAATGTATTTGTTATCAAAGCAATACACTGAAATTATTTTAAAATTCAGCCGGATATCATGACCAAACACAGTAGTGATAACTCAAAACAATATTTCGCCATCTGACACCAGTTACTATATTAACGAGCGAATAATAATAATAGTAATAATGATTCATTACACTTGTATCTTGCTATTAGAGCAAGTGCATAGCGCATAACATTAGACCGGAACAGATCAATTAGAGGTTCGAGTCCCACTCCATATAATTCGCCCTTGGCGGTTACGTCTTCCTGACCGATAGCTGCTACCCTGACGTGGTGGCCGAGCTTGCATATCGTAATGACCCAACAAACTATACTGGCTGTAACTATTGTTCCTGCAAGTCCTACCATGCCAGGAAGGTTGTTAGGATAGTGATGAGACAAAAAGCAGTTAGAGGCACAGTGTAAGAATTTTTTACAGTATGCTGGGGGTCTGTGGGAGAAGTCGTACTGGTTAGAAACAGGGATGTAACAGCAGTGAGGTATTTCCTTCAGATGACCAGCATGCCAGCTATGCTGGCACCATATATATATATATATATATATGAAATATTTAGTGGAACCTTTTGTGGTTAGGAACAGTCGCAAGTTGAGTATAATGAATTAATAATAACATACAGACTCAGTTATTATAATACACACTGATTAAACCAAATTGATTCCTACAGTCTGCAGATTTAGCTATGATAATTGGCACTTACATATAAGGTGTGGCTTCTCCTTTAAATATTTTTCAAAAATAACAACTTCAGAAACTGTTTTATTAACTTAAGGAAATGTAAAAAAGTGACTAACTTTAACCTCTGACTAACTTCAAAATACTAGCAAAGGAAAATCGATATGTAAAATATGACTTTAGTGAGTCACTAAAGTAAAACAAAAAACGGAGGGAATTAAGTGGATTTAGTTATACAAAAATAATTCCTAACGAATTGCGTTAGAGAAACTTGAATACTACTTTTAGAGCAAGATATCTTGAAAGTAGGTGAATACAGAGTCGAATGTAAGAAATTTATTTGGTTCTTCTTTTGAGTCTCCTTATTCCATAGGTTATTAATCATGAAATAACTAGATCGAATGACATTCAATTAATCATATGCGTGCCTTTAAAATACTAACGAAAGAATTTCTGGTCTCAGTAGCAAATTGAAATGACTGAAAACCTAGATCAGGCAGTCAGCTAATACTTCTGCCGGACATTCATATTGCGCTCAAAATTTTTTGACATATCCTAGTCTTTAATGTATTCGTTGACAGCAGCAATTCTGCTAAATATAACTGTGCTAAATAAAATTGGCTCGAATTACTACTATCATTATTCATTCTATGCATTTCGGGTGAGATACAGAGTATTAGATGTGCATCTACATAGCATTTGGTTCTCTACTACCACATTCAGCAGGCTTTACGACTGACAACAAACTCAGTTCTTTTTCACATGACCTTCATGTCATCCTCAGAAGTAAAACTTGTCAATCTCCATTTGGGTTCCACTAAAGAACATGTGAACAATGTAAACAAAAGTAAGAATGGGAATATGTAACTCCCAGAATATATTTGAGACTGCAAAGACTGCTCAAAATACAAAAGTAATAAGAAGATATTGTATAGAAGCGTTGATCGAAAATGCAACTAGTTATGAAAACTTCCTGTCAAAGAAATACAGCATTTGGTAGTTATGATTAATCAGCTTAGTAATCCGCATGCCATGAAACGACTGACAAACGTGGATTAATACAAAAAGCAAAAACCAACAAACAAAATAATAAAGTAAAATATCAATAGAATAAAGAAATCACTCACCTTGAATAACTTTCAGTCAATTCATCCGAACTACTAATATTATCTCTTTCTAAATCTGATGGCATATCACTTGAGTCAACTTTTCTTGGTTTTTTCAATAAGAAAAGTAATAATATTCCAAATATCGCACATCCTAACAATCCACCATACAATTGTACACGTAATGTTTTGGAAATTTCGGTGGTATTTGATAGTGAAATATAGGCATACAAACCGCCAACTATTTGACTAAAAAATATTTAGAAAAACAAATGAAAAGACTTTATAGGCAGATATGTAGATAAATAATACATAATATTCATGTAGCCTGTGAGGGCTGATTGTGAAATACAAACCCAGGGCTGCAGTAAGGCTAGAACCAGAGGTCTTCCAATTACTAGTCCGGAGGTCTACCAGTCAAACTACGAGACCCAATCGCCAAACAGATCATCAGCTGGTAGGGCGTCAGACTAGTGATTCGTAGACCTCTGGTTTGAGTCTTGTTGCAACTCATTCCCATTTCACTTTCAATCACTACAACCGGCCACATCAATAACAAACAGTCTGTCAATGTAGGACTATCACGGATAGTTGCGCCACCAGTCAAGCATTACTGGTTAATATCGACAACTGTGTATTTAATGACCAACTCGTAAGCGCGAATAATTCACATCGCCTTCAGTAACAAAGTCTGATTACACAAAAAAATGTAAAACTGATATAACAGACAGAAAGCATTGATCGTTTAATTTTCTTAATTACTTTGACAATTGACACGCTAGGTTAATGCTCCATATCCCACAGTATCTAATAGGGGTTCGCTAACGAAGTGAAATCATCACAAACGTTTTCTTGGAAATATTGTTGTATGTTTCAGATTCTCATTCTATGAGAAATGCTCTCGTATACAGCCAGAAATTAGTCCATCTCGAGAAAGCCTTATACATGCTAATACTAGGCGAGCCTACTACTGTCAACAGCACAAACTATCGCAACATAAATTTTAATTTACCTTTGCCAACTAGTAATACTTTAAACCTAGGTACCATGAAAAGATTTTTCATGAGCCAAGCAATAAGTTACACAATTTTGTGAGGACTGGTGATACTAACCTGTTTTTACAAGCTGAAGCAGCTGGTGTATTCGAACTTTGGACTAACTGACCGAAAGTCAGGTGCTCAAGCCAATGAGCTCCATCTCCGCTGTCTAAAACATACATTCCATAGTGACCGAAATAAGTTATTTATTACTTTTGATGCTAACACTGAATAGTAAAATGTCATACTTGTCTATCCCCCTGTCTAACTTTGAAGATACATGAACAAGCAATGAATAAGGTTGATAAGCATCTCAAATAAAACTACAATAAGTTCTTTGTTCAACGGTGGCCAGGAGTGGAATGAAATACGAGGATTTCACCCTATTTTAGACTCGTTGACTGAGAGCGGTTGCATACCCACCATCTCAAACTCCAACGTGTTATCCATTAGCTACTACGATAGCCACTTCTTGATTCGTTGTTTGATGGAATCAGAATAAATATTCACAATTATCGATTATTATGATTGACTATGCTAAGAAACTTCACAACCAGTGATATATTTTCTAGTAGGTCAATGGTTATTACGATGGACCATTTAGTTGTATAATTTGTGAAGGAAATAAGTAATACTTCATACTGAAAAGATGACGGCCAAGTTCAGCTTGGCAGCTAAATGGTTTATGAGTTCGACACAGTTGTTAATTTGTGAAATAATGCATACACCTAAGGTATTATTAAAAGGTGTTAAACGATACTACAGAAATATGTACTGATGAAAAAGCTTACTTTGCTTGAAATAATGCCCAAAACAGACTAAAATATTGATTTAAGTTAAAATTACTGGAACAGTCTGTAATAAAAGCACCTTGAGCAGTCCATAATACTAGTAAAATTATTTGACTAGTTTTAGCTTAACATCTTTCCTACCTGCTGCACCAATCCCATTAACCAAGGACGACAAATATAAACTCCATTCACGCGGTTCAATAAAAGAGGCAATGAACAATCTAAAAATTAAATCATATACATACGTATACACAAAACTGACTCACGCATAACAAACCGAACCAGCAATCATAGAATATTTTTTCCCCAAATATATTACAACAATTGGTGCAAACCAGTTGAATAGGCCAAAGGAAATGTATACAATTGCTAGACTGTAGAAATAAGATACGTTAAAATAACATAATAATAACAACAACCTTGTATAACCCGCATCATCGAAAGTATGATTACTTTGTTTAAAAACAGCTTCTAAAGCATTTTGCTGCAGAAACAATGAGACAAACGATGGATTGAATTTTGATTGAAAACTTACTGCAGTCAACGATGCTGTTTGAAACGCCGCAAAAAGGAAGAAAAACGCCAACCCAGTAATCACAACATTATACAGGTTTACATCGAAACGCATTACAACTTTTCCGATGTGTAATATAAACTTTATAGTACAGTGGTGTAATGATAGCACTACAAAAAGGTAGAGAATAAGATCTATGAATTTGATTGAACAGAAATGGTGCAGTAAGACCATTTTAAACATGGACTAAGGGAGGCAGTAATAATTACACTACACCACCATCGTCACTTGAGTAAGACTTTTAGGCCAAAAGCAAAACAAACAATCATCCTCCAAACTTGAAGACAGGTAATCAAATGACGAGCTGATTTACCCTAACTACAACGGTGACGTGTGCACTGATCCTAGCAACTACATTCAACTATGAATCTGAAAAGGCGTAATGATGATGAACAAAGTGATCAGACGAGGGCCGGTACACAGAAGAGGAACAAACTTCAATATCATTAGACTTTGGGTTTATGTACACATATATGCAGTTTCTAAGAAACTGTGCAGTGTGCACCACTGGAGAAATGGATTAGGAATCTAGATGGTGCGCATTTCGTGGATATGGTGCACCTGTGGACGCTTAATGAGTTGCTTATGGTTGAGTTACTTATCATTACAATTTTCGATATAATTATATCGAAAATAAAACCTCATTCAACAGTTATATAGGCGTCGGTGGCACATCGGTAGAATGTTTTCAATCACACATGGGTTCGGGATTCGATCCCCGGCCAACACACTCCTTTACCTCGCCAAGCCAGTGATAAGACTGGCAAAGAGGGGAGGTCGAGCGGGAGGCTGGTGACCCGATCCCGTAAAAATAAACACTGCTACCGAAACTTCAAAGCTCTGGCCTGAAGCCCACTGGGAACATTAAGGAATAATAATACCAACACCAATACGCGCTGAACTAAGCCTTGATGTTCTAAAGCAGTGCCAGTCAGTGATGAATCTAGGCTGAAATAAGGCTGATCAGCGAACCCAGTAGGTTCTAAACTAATTCTGACAATGCTTACAAAGAGCACAGGGTGCTGAATTATAATAATAGTAACAATAATAATAACAATAGCCTTATTCCAAACAGTACTTTGACACAAATATGGAATTTTCACCATGTAATACAGTATTGCATCTAATTTGCTTATTACAGGGGCAATAATTAAAATAAAGTATTCAAATTAATAATAATTTACACTAATAATATTGTTCAATAAGAAGTGGATATAATATTAGATCAAGTGAAGGTATTAGCGACAATGTAATACTGAGAACAAAAACAATGCCGTTTACTTAGAGTTCATCAGTCAGTTGGCAATTTCCCGTCTTACATTTTATCATCACAAAATGTGTGCTAAATAAGGTACCGTAATGTTTTTGTACTTAGTCGTCCGGGCATACAGTCTTGTATAGTTGCTTCTAGTTCTACCCGATGAGATGCAAGCAGAGTCGTGTATGAAGACGTTTAGTCTCACAGAATAATATTTGCTAACTTTTTGCAGTGTGTCCAAGTGTCTATCTTCAATAGTATTAACGAGTTGGTCTAGCAACACCCTACTCGCCCTGCTGACGTCTTTTAGCGCCCTATGCAATATAATAAAGTCTTTCTTAAGCAGCCTGGGAAAAATTAAGGCAGAACAGTAAAGAAGCATAGGCAGAATACACGAATTAACCAACGGTAACAGTAGAGACAAAATGGTGCCAGATCGTCTTAGCTTCCTTACACAGAACGTCACACGAAATATTTTTCTGGAAACTAACAGGATATGAGAAGACCACGAAAGATCAGAGGAAATACGCAGTCCAAGGTACTTAACAATCGATTTGGTCTCAACTTCAGTGCCATCTATGATGGTGGAACCATGCGAACCAGTTCATGTAAGTCGCGCTTGCGTCTGAAAGTGAAATTAACCACCTGACATTTACAGCGGCTAAGCTTAAGACTATTTGACGAGGATCACTGACTAATTTCTGATAAAAAGTTATTCGTTTTGGAGGAGTCTGACCTAGAGGTAACAAGCAAAGAAACAGTCAGATAATCGGCATACTTAACAAAATTGGCTTCGTCCGAATGGGGCAAGTCATGTAAGAAGAAGGAAGACAGAACAGGAGAACATCCCCTAGAGGAACGCCAGCTATAGTAAGTAAGGTAGTGTAGGACTTCCCATTTTAAACAGTGTGCTGCTTCGTATCAGAAAAATAGGAATGCAACCACTTCGTGGCAGCCTGTTGACGAAAATAGATTTAGGTAGACTGAAATGAGAAGGTTCATTAGTGAAGTACTTATTTCTGAAGCTGTAATTATGGTAATATTGTTAAATGCCCGCTTCGTTTTGTAAGTCAACGTTAAGTCAACATATAATCGCAACATTGTTTTTATTTCTAGGTAAATGGAAAAGATACCAGGGGATATAACAGTAGCAGTTATGTAAGCAAACTTTTCTAAATGTAAATGCTGAGAATGTGATAAGCACAATTTTCCATCAACTAATATTTTATTTTGCTTATTTACAGGATGCTACCAGTGGACCAAACTTGTCGGATTTGCAGTGACATTGTACTACAGTTTTTAAATACAAAATCCCTTCAATTATAAAAACTGACTTTTTTGCAAATTAAATAAGTTGCGCCAGCATAGGACACATGACGATAATTAGTAGCAGTCTTTTCGTTGTGAAGTAACGCTAGTCCGTGCTGAAAATGAGCTAGAAGGGCTGAAATAAAGCTCATGAGCAAACCCAGTAGGTTCTGATCTACTTCTGAAAATGCCTAGAAAAAGAACACGGGGCTGAATTAGTGTCAGTCATGCTGAAAACCAGAACTGAGTTCTAGTCTGTGCCATTAAAGAACCCAATTAAGAACAGATTCAGAATTTACTCACTGTGGAATGTTGGAATTATTTCATAATTAGTGAGATTTAATTCAGCATTATGGTAAGCAATAGCTTACCCACAAGCTTGGGAGGAGCTGATCCGCTAGTCTAGGTTTGAACCTGGACTAGAACCCAGCTAGCAATTTTTTCGGGTGCAGACTTAGGACGCATTGCAGACTTTTTGGGGCAAACTTTGGGACACTCCCACGAAGTTTTTGTCCCAATAAGTCTGCAATACCCCCGAAAATAAATGCTAGCTGGGAAGGGCTACAATTTGGCTGATAAGCTACTTTTGAAAATGCGTAGAAAAAGAGCAAGGTGCTGAATTAGTGCCAGTCATGCTGATAAACCAGCGCATAGTTTCAGTTTAAGCAAATAATCCGTAACTGTTTTGCCATTGCCCAGCTAGCATTATTTTCGGGCGCATTGCAGACTTTTTGGGACAGAATTCGGGCACATTCCAGACTTTTTAAGACAGACTTTGGGACACTGTCCCACGTAAGTAGATCTATCCGAGGTTTTCTGCCCAAAAGAGTCTGCAATGCGCACGAAAAAATGCTAGCTCGGTTGATAATGTATTACAGGGCGGTAATGCAGTTATCACCGAATTTGAGCTACTAGTTAAAACAGTTGTGTTTCCACGAACACGTTTCCTAGAAATCTGGACCATAATTTCAAGGATTATATGACAGTAAGCAGTAAATCAATTTCAGAGCAAACCCGTGCAAAAAGGCAGCCTGTAGACGGCCGTAATTTAGAGTGACCGCGAATGAGATAAACAAGCGATGCGCTCGCTCGTGATTGGCCAGTTTGTCATTCGAGTTGAGGTAATTTCAAACATCATTTTGCTGCTTGGATAAGTTCTGAATTTCCGGGATCGTTTTATCAATTTTGAGAGATAGCTGACAACACAAACTATTACAGCTCAGGAGAGAAATTATATACCAGTGGATTTATTTGCTGAATTCAACGAATTCAGATTTATTGGTTGAGGATAGAAGGCTTGCAGCCTATGTTAATCCTTTTCTAGTAGATTTCTGTGGTTGTCCAAACCCTTCTTGAACGAATCAGTTGAGGTTGCAGACACCACTTCTTCTGGGAGTCGGTTCCAAGAGTTTATGACTCTATGTGAGAACCAGTACTCAACAGCAATATGATTTCTCCTTGGCTTTTGAACTCTCCTGCTATGTCCTCTAAGGTGTTCCGACCTGGTGGGAAGGAAAAGAGAGAATAGGTCAGGTCCGTAGTCATTATTTAAAATTTTAAACATTGTGATTAAATCTCCTCTCTGCCTACGGTATGACAGTGAGAAGAGATTTAAACTATCTAGTCTTTCGAAAGACTAGATAGTTTAAATCTCTTCTCAAGCTTGTTATAATTCTGAATTAATTCTCAGTAATTCTGAAATAATTCTAGCATCCTATAGTGAGTAAATTCTGAATTTGTTCTGAAATCGTTTGTTTAGTGGCACAGACTAGAACTCAGTGCTAGTTTTCAGCATAACTAGCGCTAAATCAGAACCGTGTTCTTCTTTTAAGCATTGTTAGGAGTAGATCAGAACCTACCGGGTTTGCTTATCAGCTTTATTTCAGCCCTTTCAGAACATTTTCAGCATCGACTAGCACTAATTCAGAACGAAAAGACTTAATTCAGCACATAGTGGCAATTTTTCAGCCTAATTCAAGCCTTCGCAGATCATTTTCAGCATCGACTAGCACTAATTCAGAAAGAAAAGACTTATACTTATTACCATCACCTGTGTCCTACGCCTGCGAAATTCATTTAGTTTGCAGAAGAAATCAGTTTTTATAATTGAGACATTTGTATTTATAAACTGTAGTACAACGTCACTGCAATCCCGTCAAGTGCGATCCACTGGCAGCATCCTGCAAATAAGCAGAATAAAATATTAGTGGGTGAAAAATTGTGCTCAGCACATTCTGAACATTCACATTTATAGAAGTTTACTTACATAAGTGCCACTGTTAGATCCCCCGGTATCTTTTTCATTTACCTAAAAAAGAAAACAATATTGTGATTACTACATGTTGAACAAACGTTCACTTATAGAAGTAAGCAGGCGTTTCGCAATATTACCTGAATTCCTTGCTTCCGCTTACGCCTTTGGACACGATCTTTCAAATTATGAAAGTACGATTTCGTGGTCCTATCCATCATTTCACCAATCTCTCTTGTCGTCATTAGTTGGCCGGAGAAGTGTGACATAATTAACGCTAGAGAACTAATTGCTTCATTAATGAAACTTACTTCTCATTATTTTATAAAAGGCATAAGGCACAATGCTTGACTTTGTCAAAGTCCCCTGGAATGTAAACTGCAAACCCAATTCAGGTTTTATAACATGGTGCATCATGACCTTAAGTGATAACTTTGGATCACTCTGAAGGCAGCTAGCCATCTTAGCAGTCTACAAAAAATAAGAATTAAATACGTCAACTCACATATTGCTGTTTGTACTTGTCGTCTCTTAAAGATGCTTCCAGCATCTCTAACTGGTCTTCATTCTCGATCGGAAACTGCAGTGTTAAGTCCCCATTTGCTGGAGGGTAGGTTTGCTGTCGAGATTTTCTATCAGTAGTCACAATGTTCAATATTTTCGTGCATAGGTTAATGAGTTCCATATTTGTATCTTTAAATAAATAATTATTTTCAAGTAATTACTGAGTAATTTCTTCATTGAGGATTCAGTAGCATATTCGTTAGACGGCACAGACGTCTTTTTGCCAATAGGAGATGAAGACTGGAATATGGGGCACCCGAAGTACTGAAAATGAAGGGTTTTCAGTTAGGTTAATACCTTGGAATTGGGGCCACAAAGTCATCAAATATGTTATAATCTGGATATTGTGGTTTGATGCAACCAACCTCACTGGCGGCTACATCAATATCCATTGAGTTGTAAAGGAAATTTTTATCATTTTTTTGGCATCCCTGAAAAATGTGTTAGACAGACAACGGTACCTACCTTTTAGGTCTCTTAATAGGCATTGGCAACGTATCATCGTCCATGTCTAGATTACTGTTGCCTCGATCATTGCTTCTCAAAAGCTCTACACTCTTTTTACAGTTCTCATACGTATCTAGAAGGGTGATAATGAAATATGCCAACTTACCAAATTCCTGCAGTTGACGGAATTGAAATACTGACCATCCAGCCCCGGTAAACATAGGCTCTAGATGGTTTGCTGTGCTGCTGTACGCACATAACCCACTTCGCATAACCCAAGTGTTTGGGATAGCGACTACAGTGTCATCTTCCAGCGAACGGACGACGAGGTATTTGATTGATGTAGAATTCTGCAAAAGGATATGTAATGAAGTGCAAATACAGCTGTTACTTTATCATGTATCAGGTTGCTTAAAATCAATAACAGCATGGATATACCCATATCTCAAGAACGCGGAATAAACTGTCAAATGAACTTCAGTTTCACCAACAACATTAACCAGTTAGAGGTAGATTTTCGGATTTGACAACAAATAGACGTTGCAAAAAAATTTAGACGAATTACATATCAACAGTTCAAGCCAAAAATTACAGCACAGCACTTTCAATTAAAAGTATGAAGCAGGGGGATAACTACTTCGTCGTTAGTTGTTGGAACGTTCATACACTTGCAGACAATATTCACATAGGATATCCAGTGTGTTTCGTGACTGAATTTTGAACATCTAAATATCCCTAAATTCCTTGACTTAAACGGTGTAGTGAAATCATCACTATAATCGCCATAGGGTCGAAAACGTATTCTATCTTCACTTTCGATTTCAACTATATTCCCTGGTTTACCTAAGGCTAAGATGACATTATCCGGAGAATAAGGTGTGAATATGGTATTTAGATACGTCAGCTTTCCTTTGGAAAATTCAACACACTTAGTACCAGCTTCTTTAGGTACGTGCTTCACGCCTGTACTTTTCATTAAGTACACGTGTTCAACATAGCGTTGAGCTGCCTGCTTAGCCACCGCAAAACCACAGTGCACGGACTGTCTTATCTTGCGCATATAGGATTCGAAGGGAAATGCGCTGAATTCTTCCAATGGCCCATGCAGCTCGACGTCATCCGCTATATGTTTCAGAGAATGTATATTGTAAACAATATGTTCATTTCCGAAACAATTCTCATATTGCAGTAGGAAATTACTTAAATCTGTCCGAGCAGCATCCAAAAACAGTCGGCTGTATTTGCTACTCGACAGTAAGTATCCTGCCAGGGATAATCTCTTAAAATTAGCATACAGGTGGCATGGTAGAATGTTTCTAAGTAGGACGGGACCCAAATAGAGTAAGAAAAGTCTACACTCAGTTGCTTCCCATTGGCCAACGTCATCTAACGACCGACATTTCCTCTGAAAATCGCAAGGAATATGTTTCCTACTTACTTCCAGTCCGTTATTAATATCTGCGATAATCTTACTATGCATTTGCTCCTCTCGCCGTGCCGCAAGACCCTGCCAAAGGAACACTAACTTCTTAACAACACCAAGGTATATTAGATGCATTGGCTCCAAGGGAAACGATTTTACCATATCAAGTGGCAATTCCTCAAGACAGCTTCTGCCCCGATGGTGACTTGCTTGAACTTGACCACGGAATGTCCTATCATTTCTAAGTGTATGGTTCCCATTAGGAAATGTCATCCTACCCTCTAAGCAACAACCTATAACTTCACATTTATCACAACCTGTTTTTCCATTGTGACCGACGGTTTGTTTTACATTAGAACGAGCAGGCGAGTCACATATAAATGCAAGAACACTGACAGTCACACTCCTGCCCCACTTCTCAACATATAAACCGTATTTATAAAGATCTTTCAATTCAGCTAATAGGTCCATGGCAACCTCATTGAAGTTGCTCGGTTTTCTCAAACCGCCATGTATGCCAATTAAAAAAACGTCACTGACGTATGGAGTCGTAATACGACCTAGGAATGGCCATAATTGCTGCGAAGAGCTGTTTGATATAGATAAACCGTCATAGTTGATTTGCAAGCCAATATGTTGAAAAGTACCGTAGTCAACCCAACTATCTAGATAACGCTGCAGGTTTTCCTTCAGTCCAATGTGATAGTAAACACCTTGTCCAAGAAATCTAGGTACACACATGCCACTATCTTTTAGCAAGCCTCTTATGGTTGTTGGCACTGTCAACCAAAGTCTCATAAACCGTTAATGCCCAGCTCTCGCTACGCTCGGGCCCACGCTGTTCTTAGAAGATTTCTGACAAACGCTTAGTAACAACGGACGAAAAAACGAGAACACCAATTGTTGACTTGAGTATTATGTATTGTTACACCAGCATATAAATCAAGTATCACTAAGCAAACTAAGAAAACTAAGGTCTGTAAACAAATATTACAATAATAAATCGTTATGTTACTTCTGACGATATTTCAATCTTCTTTCTGAACAGCGACCGATGAGACGATGACTGTCGTATTGATGCTTCCGCGAAAATCGAGGAAGTTGATTTTGAGCAAACAACCAAGAATTGATCGTTCAATCTTCAACTCCATTGACAAGGTATATAATCAGTACGCCTTAGATACACAGATCATTCTTACAGGATTTATAAATCATGCAGGTGAGTTAGATTTTGGGGGTATATTTCTCCAATTCTCTTATAAGGAAATCAACTCCAATAATGTGTTAAATACGGGTATTCAACATTCTACAACAAGTCGTAAGAGAAGAATATCTTCTGGCAGACTGCATGAATGCCTTGGATACAGCTACTCAACATTTTATA